TATATTTATTTCTGATAAGGTATGAAGTATTATCTAATTATCTTTGCATGGAACATGTAATTGCAATTGTATTGCAACTTACATTGTAGAAAATATTTTTATTGTCACTTGGCATTTTGACCAGTTGTTAAAGTTGCCTACCCCACAGCAGCTATTTGGATCCTTACGTTCATACAAGGCAATAAATGATCTACTTCTGTAAACCCTGAGAACACAGAGACCACACACCACTAAAAGAAACACAAAATACTGATATAGCTGCCCCCAGTGGACTATTTTATTTAATTTAGTAAATTGTCTCTGAGATAATCAATGCAGCACTATATTTTAAACAAAGGACAAAGAACAACAGATAGGAATTTTTATCGCAAGTCAGCACCCAAACAAAACTTTCTTTTGCACTTAAACACTGATTATTCGCCATTATTAAATGCTAGTTCATTTCCTTGTTTTCTAGAGGGAAACATTAACATCCTAAATTTCCCAGACTTTAATATGCCTCTAGAGACTCCTACACAGCCATCAGTAGCATTGTCAAAATGCACAGCAGCTTGGTGGGTGTGGGCTAATTTGGGCTGAGCAGTGAAAGAAAACGCACTGTTATTGTATCGCATGCCAAAGGTTATAATATTCCCCCAATAGAAATTGCTTGATAGCAGCCTGCCCTGAGATTAATACTGTTTGCACTTTTATATGTAACCGTGACATGCAATCAGCACGGTGAAATATTCATTATTGCCTGGCTGTCTGCTGAAGACAATTTCAATTATACTGGCATTTGAATGGCTGTAGAAACCCTTTAGGCTGGCTCACAAGATTAGATTTAAAGGCTGTGTAAATTAACAAAGTTGCAAACACTATATTATCTTCCAGGCAAAGGAGGACACATGATAGTATAACAATACAGCTGACAAAATTGTTAAAATCAGTTGCAAGCCTTGATATTTTAATTTGCTGTGTAAACTTGCTAAAAAAGTGTTTGGTATGCTGCTTGCCTATACTTGGTGCCTTTATATGTCTGTCCCCTCGGCTTAATCTGTAATGAAATCTCCTACTCTGCAAGTTTATTAGATTATGTGCGTTGTATACAAACACAGTTCCACCAGTCGTCCATTTCTTGCAACGCACTATACAATTTACCTTTAAATCTGACACTGTTTTAATCGTTTACTCAAGATTCCCTTAGATCTGATTTTCTTCTGGTATTTACAAATTTAAAAGGCCAACCATTAAAAGTAATGCATATACACCTTACCTTTAAAAGAAAAATGTACTGTGAGTTTTAAAATGTAAATCATTTAGAAGAGCTAAACCGATTGGGATATTTTAAATTCTTATATATTTTACATGGATTCGAGGTCGCCAAATTTACTATACTGCTATGTTTTTCTTCATATGATACTGATGGGCAACACATGAAATATGGTGTCTTGTGCTGTGTAACATACACTGCAGGCAGAAATTCAGATAGGCAACAGTAGCTATTCCTTAGCTATTCCCAAAAAGTACATCTGATATTAATATATTTCTTGTGTGTCTCTAGTAAAGCTGGTAATACAAGGGGGCACTTTTGTTGTGCTGCCCATCAATGTGTAAAGTGATATGAAAGGTTAAAGTAATGGCCTAATCGCAATAGTGCAATATTTAAACAGCTGTAATATCAGTGATGCACTCCACTCAAAAGAAGTGCAATGTTGCAGGACAAATCAGTAAAACAAATTGATCTTCTAGAACAATTCTCAATCAGCTGAATTTAAACAGAAGTTTTTAAACTTTTTTTTTGTCAGGGACCCAAATTATTTACATAGCTCTAAGACCTCCTTAGTTTAAAAATGGAGTCAGTGATCCATCCTTAAAGGGACACTATAGGCACCCATCTCATTGAAGTGGTCTGGGTGCAGTGTCCCTGTCAGTTTAACCCTACAATTGATAAACTGCAAAAATTTAATTGAAGATTTAACTCCACATCTAGTGGCTGTCTAGTACACAGCCACTAGAGGCGCATCTGGGTCCTTAGGTGACTTTTGGTAGCCTAACTGGAGCTGGACGTTCTCAGACTCTGAATGAGGACATCCAGCATCAGCTAAACCCTCATGGGATAGTCCTAACGCTAGTGCGGGCGGCCCTTGCATTTCATAGGCATTAGGTCCCCAACATCTGATGTTGGGAAAGGAGGAACAGAGGCGGAGTGACAGAAGGGTTTTTAACCCCTTCTGCAGAGCGGGAGGAGGGGGTGTGCAAGCAAGGGGGGCACTATAGGGTACTATAGTGTTAGGAACACAACTTTGTATTTCTCTTTAAACTTTAATATAACATACAATAAAATTAATTTAACTCAACATCTCCAGAGTCAGTGGGGGTCTCCTTTGCACTGGGCATGTTATCCTGCTACAGTAAATACATTTTGTGAATAATTACATAATCAATATGATATATATTTTTTTAAACAATCTAATCCAGTGAAGCAGCATGGGGATCGAATTTTAGGTGTAAATATTATTTATTTGCAAACATATTTTGTAGAAGACACTTCCGTGTATATATTCATGGCATAGAGGGGGCAGGAGTTTATTGTTTTTTTTAGTGTTCTTGAGTTTCAAGATTACTTTGCACTCCCTTCGAAAAAGAATTGACGTTGTGGCGCACAATTACTGTCATGGACAATAGGCAATGCTTTATCAATGTCACTGCTCTTTGGGTGAGAGGTATATGAGGAACTTAATGGATCCATTCTGGTTATTAAAGGAGCACTCTAATGTAAGTGCTTCACCCTCAGCTAAGATCAGTGACGATGATCTCAGCCAAATTAGAGCTTCCCCATAGGGGGGCCACTGCACATTTTAGCTCAGTGCATCTCTATGGGGAGCGTTCAGCGTCTTAATGCTTGCAAATACTGCAGAACTACCCCTGCAAGTGCCTCTAGTGGCTAACTGAGCTACAGACAACACTTGAGATGGCCTTAGACAACATTGTAAATACTGCCTATTTTCAGAAATGGCTGTGTTTGTATTGCTGAGATTGTACGGACACCCTCTTTGCTCCAGAACCACTAGATTAGTCTGTTATTGTAGACAAAAAAACTTTGATGACATGCTTAACCCTTCACCTACTAGTCATTGAGTGGAATATCAGGAGTTAAAACAAAGGAGGACATGAGCAAATATTTAATCACATTAAGATGTTTTGTTCATTTATTTTATTTAGTAATTTATTAATTCTTGTTTTAATTATTTGGATTTGAAAGAATGCAATGACATAAACAAATATCCATTTTTAAATTAATCCAGAAATGAATACACAAGTCCAATACCTTAATCATTTTGTCATAATTTCTTGTGTTTTTGATTTACATTGTAAAGTGCAGAAACAAATGCTGGCATCCAAATAATAAAATTCATAATTTTACTTCAATCAAAATCTTTTTGCTGTTTTATTGTATATGTATTAGACTTGGACATTCGGTCCAAACTGCAATTCGTCAGAAATGAGCCAGAATGTACCCGAATCACAAACCAATGGAAACGTGTAATGACATAGCATCTTTGTTTCGATTGTGATTCTGAATTTCACTTGTGGCTCCAAAAAAAGAGATGATTGATGGTAAAAAAACATGTAGACAGCCACTACATTTTAATTTTATTCACATGTCAGTGAGAAGTGACCAAAAAAGTAAAAAAGGGGAAAAAGTAAGAAAAAGAGTAAGAATTTTTTTTTTTTCCTGTAAATTTGACTTTGGAAACCGTCCCGAGTTCACCTCTCACCTTTTTATCACTTCCTCAGTCTGCCAGGACAACAAAGCTTTCATAAAAGAGATTGAATAAGTAAAATGGTATGAATGTCATTGAAAATTAGGTCAATGCCAATGTTTCAGATCAATTGTGATTTAGCCTGTAATAAACAATTTAGAATTTAACCAGACAAGTCTGTGTAAAAAGACATGGGTGAGGAGGGAGTGAGGGGTGTGGGTATTCTCTAAACATTGTAGTGGAACGAAAAGTTTAAGCAAAAAATCTTCAACACAGCTATATCCACAGCTTACTTGCTTTTTTGACTTTCAGTGCCTTGCTATTCAGTAGTAGGAATTTAGGAAATAAACCCAAATATTCTCTATAATAGTATGTGCTGAAATTGTATGACCTATTTAAAAAGAACGTTACTTTTAGCAAAGGAAGATCATGTTGCTTTAAAACATGTATAAATAAATATGCTCAAATGCACTTAATAGGCTTCACCTAGAGTTCCCAGACATTCCTTATCAATTGGATAACAACTTTATTAGCCTCCTATTGGCTTAGATTCAGAAATGTAACTTAATTAATATAGCCAGCACATTGATTAGTTAAAATATAAACTTTGATGACATGCTTATTACAGCTATAAATCATACTAATTAATGTAGTATATGCGCAATGTGTTGACAGAAGGACTTTATATAATCTCTCTATACAAAGTGTCTTTAACTATTTTAAAGAAGTTACAGGATATTGCATCAATGTAAATGTCTTTTCACATGAATATACAGTATTTGTACATAATGCCTGCATCATACTGCTAGAGAATGACAGATCCCCATTTTTGACTGTAAATATTGAGATACTTGACCCAGGAATTGTCCCTCTGATGTTGTTTGACCATGGTAAATAAGGGTATTTTTAGCATTGATAATATCTATAATAAACATTAAAACAGACATGAGTATTTTGTCTACAATAGCATTCTTTATTCATCTTCCGTATTGTAAAAAATGGTTAATACAATGCTAAAAAAATAAATAAATAAAAATATACACTGCTCAAAAAAATAAAGGGAACACTTAAACAACACAATGTAACTCCAAGTCAATCACTTAGGAAACAACACTGAGTGACAATCAATTTCACATGCTGTTGTGCAAATGGGATAGACAACAGGTGGAAATTATAGGCAATTAGCAAGACACCCCCAATAAAGGAGTGGTTCTGCAGGTGGTGACCACAGACCACTTCTCAGTTCCAATGCTTCCTGGCTGATGTTTTGGTCACTTTTGAATGCTGGCGGTGCTTTCACTCTAGTGGTAGCATGAGACGGAGTCTACAACCCACACAAGTGGCTCAGGTAGTGCAGCTCATCCAGGATGGCACATCAATGCGAGCTGTGGCAAGAAGGTTTGCTGTGTCTGTCAGCGTAGTGTCCAGAGCATGGAGGCGCTACCAGGAGACAGGCCAGTACATCAGGAGACGTGGAGGAGGCTGTAGGAGGGCAACAACCCAGCAGCAGGGCCGCTACCTCCACCTTTGTACAATGAGGGACAGGAGGAGCACTGCCAGAGGCCTGCAAAATGACCTCCAGCAGGCCACAAATGTGCATGTGTCTGCTCAAACGGTCAGAATCAGACTCCATGTGCTTGGTATGAGGGCCCAACGTCCACAGGTGGGGGTTGTGCTTACAGCCCAACACCGTGCAGGACGTTTGGCATTTGCCAGAGAACACCAAGATTGGCAAATTCACCACTGTTGCCCTGTGCTCTTCACAGATGAAAGCAGGTTCACACTGAGCACATGTGACAGACGTGACAGAGTCTGGAGACGCCGTGGAGAACGTTCAGCTGCCTGCAACATCCTCCAGCATGACCGGTTTGGCAGTGGGTCAGTAATGGTGTGGGGTGGCATTTCTTTGGGGAGCCGCACAGCCCTCAATGTGCCCGCCAGAGATAGCCTGACTGCCATTAGGTACCGAGATAAGATCCTCAGACCCCTTGTGAGACCATATGCTGGTGCGGTTGGCCCTGGGTTCCTCCTAATGCAAGACAATGCTAGACCTCATGTGGCTGGAATGTGTCAGCAGTTCCTGCAAGACAAAGGCATTGATGCTATGGACTGGCCCGCCCGTTCCCCAGACCTGATTCCAATTGAGCACATCTGGGACATCATGTCTTGCTCCATCCACCAATGTCATGTTGCACCACAGACTGTCCAGGAGTTGGCAGATGCTTTAGTCCAGGTCTGGGAGGAGATCCCTCAGGAGACCATCCACCACCTCATCAGGAGCATGCACAGGCGTTGTAGGGAGGTCATACAGGCACGTGGAGGCCACACACACTACTAAGCCTCATTTTGACTTGTTTGAAGGACATAACATGAAAGTTGGATCAGCCTGTAGTGTGTTTTTCCACTTTAATTTTGAGTGTGACTCCAAATCCAGACCTCCATGGGTTGAAAAATTTGATTTCCATTTTTTAATATTTGTGTGATTTTGTTGTCAGCAGGTTCAACTATGTAAAGAACAAAGTATTTCAGAAGAATATTTAATTCATTCAGTTCTAGGATGTGTTTTTTTTTGTGTTCCCTTTATTTTTTTGAGCAGTGTATTATTATCTTATATACCATTGAAGTAGCAACACCCGGATGTTGGATATCCATTAATGAGACTTTTTTGCAAATCACTTTAGAGATTATTCACAATTTGTTATCTGTAAGATTACATTTTAACCCCTTAAGAACCAAACTTCTGGAATAAAAGGGAATCATGACATGTCACACATGTCATGTGTCTTTAAGGGGTTAAACTAACAGGTTAATTCTAAAAATTAAACTGTGCAGTAGAACTACAAACAAGTTTTTCCTATCTCCACTTTTTATGTTGTTCTAGTGTTTGATCATAAGTTTTCATCATAAGCTGCTTATAAGTTTTTTTTCAAATCTTCCCCTCTTGTGTTATTTTAACCTGTTGAGAACAGCTTTGAAAGGAATGTTCCTGGTATTTAACCACTGGGGGTAGGGCATGCCAAAGTAGTGGTTTCCCATACAGGCATGGTCTAAAACCACAGGTTTAGACAACTGTTTTCTCATACTGGCATGATCTAAACCCGTGAGTTTACAGAAGAAATGGTCTCCCACGCTCAACTTTAGTAAAAATACTATTAAAAAATATTCTAATTGCCTGATACCTTCTGTAGGAACATAAATACATCTAAATTTGGAACAAAAGCTACACTATAAAGTAAACCAAAAACAATAAAAACATACAATTAAAAAAACACGAGGCTTACAATTTTTATCTATAAAAATGGTAGTAAAAATTGGAGATGAGGAAAGTTAAAAGAAAGTTTGGTCAAGAAGAGATGAGTTGGATATTTAAGTCCAACACTTTGTTACTCAGGGATTTTATTAATGATTTTGAATTGTGCCAATATATTAATTTATTTGTTAATTTATTATTGAAATAGAAGATTTTATTCCATTAATTTATGAGTATTAACATAGTGATCATTCATTTTTTGAACTGAGGAAAAAATCTCACGATAGGATAAAGAAATTGGGTCATTTTGTCATTTCTTTATTACAAAAAACATAGAAAAATATAGCTTACTATTATTTTAATATTAAAGAACATGATATATGTTAACTTGTACATATTATGGAATAGTTAAAAAAAAACTTTGCATACCTTGAATACTTGGTAGTATTGGTGGAAAGTTAGAATATAGTGTTACATGTGGGGAATTGGAACTTATTTATAGCAACGAGTCATGAAAATAATGCTTCCAAAAGGACTTATTATGAGAGGGTTGGGAGCTACTGTATAGATAATAAAGGTGGTAAAACATTAAATCATGATTAATGGGGTGATATGATAGTGAGGCTTGGCGCCTGTACTCACATGGATGCAGAGATGAGATAAAGAACTGAGGCTTGGAACGCAGAGGGAAAATAAAGAAGATCCCAAATTGAGGCATGGAACACACGCTAATTAGATGGATGGTACAATTTATTTTAAAACAGCACAACAGGTACATAGTTACTGAAGTGGAAGCCTTAACTGGTGAAATGTTTTTTTAGAGTATGAGACTGGACCCTTATATGAGACTGGACCCTTATTCTTTTACTACTTTGTGGATGCTATTGTTGTTTTTAGGATATATTTTAATGTCTAATAAAGCTGTTTGCACTGAAGCAAATTGTTGAAATTTCTGTCTTAAGAAGTTGATGTACCAGATATTCCGGTATAGACAATAGAGCCATTTATGTAGGCTCTGAAAAATGTGAGCGTGCACCCCAGTAATTTACAAAATGTTTCTTATACTCCTTTTATGTTGGTTGTCTGCACTATTATGTCATTACATTATATTTTTTTCTTTTCGAGGTATCAGTAAAGTCAACTTTGACAAACTCCCCTTCTTAAGGGAGCTTGCCATGAGTTTTTGGAGGGGTCTGCTTGCCCGCCTCCTGCCCTGTGACTATGGCCCCTGGATGTATTGCCCTTTAAAAGAGTTATTTGGGCATATTGGATTTTGTTACACTGCTTTAACTACTATGAGAAAGGATTTGTACATTTGATGCAGCCGAAGTGCCGAAGTAGTCAAAGTGGCCACCATTCGACATTCAAACACGTGGCGGCGGCCATTTTGTTTAGTGGAACTCAAATTGGACACTCAACGGCACGAACACCGCTGAACTTTACCTTCTATGTGACTTCGACGCTTCGACAGTAGTCGAACGGTGTTCGACTATACGAACGCCACATTGACATTTGCATGAACGGTTGCCATTAGTCTGTTAGAACTGCATTTGATATGGGAAATAGACCGGCCGCACAGCCCAATTCTCAGGAACTGTTTTGGGTATGAAAATGTGCGTGCGGTCAGTCAAATGTGACTTCCAGCTACCGCCCGAACGGTTGAACGGATTTGCATTATTTTTGAGTATGTTTGTTCTCTAATTATGCTGGTTTAGAATATGTAAGTATGTTTACGCCAATGTAATGTACAATTTTGGAGTTATAGAAATTGTGTAAAAAGTGTATTTTTCACTTGGAGATAATTGAGCTGATATAGTAATTAGCCCAATTATCTACCAAACAGAGGGGAGGATTTTACTGGAATGAATGAGAGTGCTTAACTGTACTGTAGTGTGTTGATTGGCTGTTGTAACTTTGTGTCCTGTGTACCACAAGGTCCACATGGGTTTTAACCTTGTGGGAAACTGTGTATATAAGAAGCAATAAAGCCTCAGTTCATTCTCTTCCTGCTTACACTCTAAAACTGTGTGTCGTTCTGTTATTGGAGGGAAGAAGATTTGCTCCTGTGTCTGCTGTTCCAGCTTGCAGGAGATTCAATGGGGAAAGTCCTTGTAAGGACTAGAGCTAATTCCCCATTCAGTTCCAGAGTTCCCAGGACTTGGTGTCGTCCAGTGCCTGGAGGTGTCTGGTGGAGTGCTTGGAGCCCTCAGGAAGCGCTAGGAGAATCCTTCAATGGAAGCACCCAGTCGGGGTGCCAGGTGATCTGTTACATCAACCATTTAAAGAAGTATCAATAGTGTATTGAATTGTAAGTAATTTTGATGGGAAAACGTTCAGCAACTGTTTGTGGCAAGTAGCACTTTAAATTGAAAATGCAAAACACTGTAGTTTTGTGTGCTTTATGTAAATTTCACAAATGTATTCCATGGGTTGACAGGATCTCTGGAAATTCATGCGCATGCTCCCGTATATGTAAGTGTGTTTTGGTTTTGCAGGATATTCTAAACTCACTGTTAAGCATTGTGTTGAAAAAGAAAATGGTGACATAGCTCCAGGAAAATGTGCATATAGAAGCTATATTATCGCCACTAGTCCATACTAATTCTTCTTGACCTCTCTGCTGCCTTTGAGACTGTTGATCATGGACTCCTTCTCCAAACTCTTCAATCTCTTGGTCTCTGTGACACAGCCCTCTCATAGTTCTCCTCCTATCTCTTACAACATTCCTTCCGTGTCTCTTTTTCCAACAACAGCCCTCTCATGGTTCTCCTCCTATCTCTCACAACGCTCCTTCAGTGTCTCTTTTTCTAACAACACATCCTCTCCTTGTCCTGTCTCAGTCAGAGTCCCTCAATGCTCAGTTCTTGGTCCCCTTTTGTTCTTTCTCTTTACTGCCTCTCTTGGCAAACTAATTAATTCATTTGGATTCCACTACCACCTGTACGCTGATGACACCCAGATAAACCTCTCCTCCCCTGGCCTCTCCTCTGCTGTCATACAATGTGTTACCAATTGCCTTTCTTCTATCTCTGATTGGATGTTCTCCCGCTTTCTGAAACTCAAACTCTATAAATCTGAGTTTCTTATTTTTCATCCTCATGACACTGATCCTCCTCCTTCACTCTCCCTGAAGGTTGAAGGCACCTGCCTCATCCCATTCTATCAAGGTCGCTGTCTTGGTGTCATTTTTGATCCTGGCCTCACCT